TCATTCAAGATAAACTCCACCTCTGAGAATTTGTCTAATATCTACAGAAATCTGTGATGTCACATCCATTCAGAACTCAATCATGTTCCAAACACAAAAAACATATTGTAATGTTGAATTTATATTCAAAATAAACATGAGAAACCACATGTGAAAATGACAATATTTTCTCTTAAGAGGCCTTTTTAAAAAAACAACAATTCTTTATTTTTTCAAAAAAGGCTGACTCATATCATTAAATAAAGTCATGCTTTAAAACACACTGCATTCGCATTTTGTATTGTATATGTCATCATTATGAAGTGTATCCTGAATGTCTATCAACAGAAAGCAGTATGTTCAAAACCTCCTGGGTTGAATTTTCTGTGTGCATGACAATCATTAATCAAGATATGGTCAGCTGGACCAATAAGTCTGACTTTCAATTAACTGGGAACCAAACTGTAGAATTAATAACTCATCATCAGACTGCTCACTAAATGTCAATTTATTCTAATGGGGCCTGAGCATCCTGAACATTTTAATTAAACTGAGCTATAACAACAGGCTATAAATTCACTCATGCTGCTGTGCTACAGCTGCATAGCTTTCTCTCTGTCTGTCTTCCTCTCTGTGGTGGATGAAATACAAAGAGACTGATGAAAGTAGATAAGGTTAGCATGTGCATATTCTGCCCATCGGAGGAGAAAAGCTTTGTTAAAATCAGAAGTCAGCTGTTTGCACAAAGGAGATCCAAAGTGTTTTATTACTCTGGCTCTGACCATCAAGTTACTGCAGTGCAGTGTAATAACACAAAGAAGCTCCTCTCAGCTTACAGTCAGGCAGAATAAATGGAGCTGTGGCTGTACAGTGTTGAGCACTTATTTCACTGAAGCTGCGCAAAGTGACAAACTGGAGGAAAGCCATATCTGAGCAAACCTTGCAGCACCTTGTCTGACTATGATTGCATTTTGCATGTGTTGTGGACTACATCTAAGTTCTCATTATTAAAGCAGTATGCAGGATCCACACTAAAAGTGTACATACGGACAAAAGCCGAAATTTTCATGCACCAAAAAATATTCAGATTTACGAATACTAATAAAAAAAACCAAACAAACAAAAAAAACATTATTGTCCATGATGTGGAAATCTTCCTTTGGTTTCACCATAACATATGCCAAAGACACACATAAAAATGTGCATTCACCATAGCACATCCCATAAACAACATACATAACACAACATATAGGCTACATAAAAGTGGAAATACAAAATGCTCTTGGCTATACACAGTCATAAAAAATACAACTCACAACCTATCAGTCAGCAATATAAACAATATTCAAGTATCCATGAAAAGGAGATATTGTGCAAAGAGCCCTAGCAAAGTATCAGGAGCATCATCCTGTGTCATAGTTATTCATATAGATCCTACTTTAATTTATGACCTCATGACAGCACTTGGCACAAAGGACTTTTTGTAGATATTTCTACTAGCCATCAGTAATCCATAATACCTCCCTGAGGGTTCAAATCCACTGTGCAGCATTGAGAAGGGTCATTATTAATAATTATGTTTGATTTTGGCCCCGATCACACAGAAAGCATTTTACAGGTTGCAAAACACAAGGTGCACTGCCTTTTGTTTTTGATTAAATGCCACTAGTGAAAAAAAAAGCTTGCTGCACCTTTTATTGTTGCCAGGCAACCACCCTCTCACCTCCTAACCTTCCTGTGTATTAATCTACTTGTTGTTTATCTTATTTATTTGATAGTAATCAGTATCTAGTTCTGAAAATGTTCAGGCAGAGTCCTTGCTCTAGCACTGGTTGAGGATGAGAGGCTGTCGGTTAATAGTTTGTTGGGCAAAGGAAAACAGCGATCTGTGTGGCTGCACGAGACTCTAAAAAAGAGGGTGGATCACAGTAAGTACCACCAAATGGTCCAGGAGCTTCGCCTGGATCACGGCTGTTTCCAGGCATATTTTAGGATGACTCCGGGGCAGTTTGACAACCTGCTATTTATCGTCGGTCCGTATTGCTCTGGGTATCCAGCAACCGCTACCACCAGTTTCTCCTCCATTGTTTACTGACTGTAAACTTATTGTTGTGACTACCACAGAAGGCCCGCCACCTCTTAAATCATCTGATTGACAATGGAAAAAAAGATGATGAAAAAGGAGATGACGTGGGGCGTTTTTCCACTTTAAGTTGAAGTTTTTTCAACGTGAGGAGTTCAGAGTGCTTCAGAGGCAAAAATTGCCAAGCATCGAGAGCGCAGAAATGCGTCACACATTGCAACACAAAAACCTCAGGCAAAAAAGCTTCATTCTCATTAAAAACAATTACAAAAAGGCGCCTCCAGCTGCTGTCAAAACTGTCTTTGTGATCACGACCTTACTCCTCACAAGTTCTTCACACATACCACTGCAACCCAGTCTCTCTCCGAAGTTGTCAAATACTGGTGCTTGGTCAGTGACTTCCGGCATCAGACAGACAAAAAAAAAAAAAAAAAGCGTCCTTTCACGTAGGCATGATATGAGGCCATTCACCATAATTCAGTAATAGCACCTGGCAGCGTCAGGGGGAAAGCAGCTGTGCAACAATGTAGGTTAAGGGGCAAACGTTTGAGTAGGGTGGATGGGAGGGGTGGTGGATGAGTCCAACAACCACCGACTTTCATCTGGGATGTTGGTGTTCACTTCCCCTAAGTTTGTGAAGCCAAACCCTGTTCTTTTTCCCTAAACCCAACCACATGCATTTATTGGCTAGACGCAGTTTATTTTGAAAGAAACTGTGAACTCTAAACTGTACATTTCCTGTTAAAAAGGGAAGTGTATTTTGAAAACAGACGATGCATGTACAGGCTGAAGTTGACACAGTGTCCCAGGACATCAACACACCCAGGCTACCTTAAAGTCCATGACTAAATGATGTATGTGACGACGTTGAAGTGAGAACTTGTTTGCCACTGAGCTGCCTTTGTGGCTTCCCTATGATTTTGGAAGTCATGTTGACCATTCTCTGCAGCTTGTTTCTCCTCTTAATATTCACACCAGAAAGAAAGACACCAGATTTAGGCTTGCCATACACCCTAGAGAACGTCTGTCCTTGACCCTGCACTATCTGGCTACAGGTGGGTTATTTAAATTGCGTGGAAGTAAAAATAAATGAATTAGATCTGCCTCCAGAGCCTGGGTCCGAACACAATGCGCACTACATGCTCCTGTGGACGCCGCTATTGTTGTTGTGGCTTGCCAGCTTGTCCTCCTTACATTTATTCCGTCCTCCTGCGTGCTGACATGGGACGTATCCCGCCTCTCATTGGCTGATGCTCTTTGTCAGTTGTGTCACACCGCTCCAGTTTTCTAGCATGCCAGATATCCAGTCCCAGTCTCAGANAACTTCCTGTTGGGTTTAGAGCATGCCTCCAAGAGGCTTTTTTCTACGTCTCCGGGCGTTACATAAGCCTGCCGAGTTTCATACATGTAGGTTAAACTAGCTTCAGGGGCTGTTTCCTCAAACTTTTGTAGGGGGCGCTACTGAGCCATTTTTTGGAACCCACACACGAGAGTGCATGTTTCATGAGTTTTCGTGTATGTTAAGCCTCCCAAAAAGGCATTTCATTTGGAGGAATAATAATAATAATAATAATAAAAAATCCTTGCATTTCAATAGGGTCCTCGCACCGCTAGGTGCTCGGGCCCTAAAAATCCTTGCATTTCAATAGGGTCCTCGCACCACTAGGTGCTTGGGCCCTAATAATAAAAAATCCTTGCATTTCAATAGGGTCCTCGCACCGCTAGGTGCTCGGGCCCTAAAAATCCTTGCATTTCAATAGGGTCCTTGCACCGCTACCTGCTGGGGACCTAATAAACAGCACGATTACAACAGGGTCCTCACAGACGACTTTGTCGTCGCTCGGGCCCTAACAATAATAAACAGCGCGATTACAATAGGGTCCTCACAGACGACTTCATCGTCGCTCGGGCCCTCATAAACAGCGCGATTACAATAGGGTCCTCACGGACGATTTTGTTGTCGCTCGGGCCCTAATAAACAGTGCGATTACAATAGGGTCCTATGGACGACTTCGTCGTCGCTCGGGGCCTAATAAACAGCGCGATTACAATAGGGTCCTACGGACGACTTCGACGTCGCTCAGGCTCTAATAAACAGCATGATTTCAATAGGGTCCTCGGACGACTTCGTCGTCGCTTGGGCCCTAATAATAAATCCTTAAAATTCAATAGGGTCCTTGCACCGCTAGGTGCTCGGGCCCTAATAATAAACAGCGCGATTTCAATAGGGTCGTCGCTCGGGCCCTAATAATAATAATAAACAGAGTGATTTTAATAGGGTCCTCAGACGACTTTGTTGTCACTCGGGCCCTAATAAAAAGCGCGATTTCAATAGGGTCCTCGGACGACTTCGTTGTCGCTCGGGCCCTAATAAACAGCGCGATTACAATAGGGTCCTCACGGACGACTTTGTCGTCGCTGAGGCCCTAAATATCTAATAATAATAATAATTATCTCCATCTTTTCTCGATGTTAACAAATGTTACATTTGAAAACATCAACCTGGCTAGCTGGTAGATGTCGGCAGGATGAGAGTTTACAGACTGTTGAGCTGATTTCCTCATAACAAAAAGTGACTCACAGCCACATGCCACCAAGTTTCAAGCCAACCTTAAAGCACCACCAACACATGCAAAATAAACACAAGAGCAGAAAACTGACAGAAACTTTAGCAAAACTGACTGAAAAATGTCCACACTTCCGTCACTTGTGTTATTAATTGTAAATGAAGTTGTACCAACTCAATAATGACAAACTGGTGTTGGGTGGAGGGCGATGGAGTCAAGTAGAGGATCCGAAGGAAAACTCAGGGGCCACCTTTTTCAAAAAGTGAGTTTTTTTGCACTACATCATAAATCACTGTTAAGCCTACAATTCATATATGATATGTAGTATTCTATATGATCACTTGTATATACATTGTCAGAGACCTGCTGACCTCAGGCAGAACGATGAAGGCTCCAGTCATGACGGTGAGGACGATGTTGATCCCAAACAACCAGCGGAGAAAGATAAAGTATGAAGCCACGCCCGATCCAAAGTGACCTCAGCAAGAAAGAGGAAACATTTTAGACTGCTTCACATGTTGCATACACTTAAAGGACAACTTCGGTATTTTTCAACCTGGGCTCTATTTCCCCATGTGTATGTGTGCATATGATTCATGGGTACCACTTGTTCTAAAATTGGTTCAGTACTGAGGCGCGCAACGAGCTACAACGGTAATGGGGGCAAATGTGTCCTGTATAAAAGTGCTTTTTTTCGCCACTGACCGGTTCAGATCGCCAGTGCTATCTCTGTAAATAGCATACTAACTTAGCCTTTCTCTTACTTCTGATGTCACAAGCTTTGCTCCACTGTGTCTGTAGCTCTCTCTACTCGTGGGACAGCCGTTTTCTTGAGGAAGAGGTGTTTCGGGATTGGATGTCTTCTCTTCTTCGGCTGGCAGTAGTCATCTTGGGAGAAGTGAGCACTGCAGACCCAATGGTCTGCAAGGCGCAGTGTCTGGAGAGGAGTGTTAGCATCCATTTGTAGCACAACTAGCCACAACTTCAGTATCTCGCCGTCCGACAAAGGCAGCCTAAGAAAGCTGTACGGGGTGTTGCGCGACATCCTGTTCTTGTGTTCGGGAAAAAGGCCCGTTTATTTGAGCACTCCAAAAACTCCGGTAACACTCCAGGGGGTAGCAC